TATGAACATTGATATATCGTGCACATTGCTGTCGTTTGTAAGTTTTGAATAATTCTGCAGAGCGCTGGTGAAAACAAGTTTCGAAAATCCATAGATATGTATAGGTAAGGGGCGGATGGTTTACCGAGCGTCCCTAAGTCGCGCATCACCCTGAATTCGCGGCTACACCTCGTCGTTCGTCCAGCCCAGATTCCGAATCGATTCTTCCGTACTACTAGTGTTGTTGGTGTCGGTAACAGCCTCGCAGTCTTGAAATATGGGCTCGATCGTCTTAAAATCACTCTCGGTTCTGCTTGGAATATTTTTTGTTTTCGTCGGTACCATGAAGTTGACTTCGCACATCAGCAAGGATCTTCACAAGGACTTGGTGAGTCGAAGCTTGCTCTTACGAGATAATTATATAACAGAATTCACCCCATCTCATGGGTCGTGCATCACGGCGACGATTCTCTTTTCATTGGCATTTCCCTACTGGTTTCGACCCTAGCCCCGTTATCAGCTGGTGCACCGGTTCATCTCTCTCCTTTCCTACCTTTCCCACGTCGTGTGGTCGATTGATTGTTTCCCGTTGTTTATCCTCGTATTCGAAACGAGTCGACCGTCTCGCAAACTTTCTTCTCGCCTCTGCGTGAAACGCAACGCGTCAACGCATTCCTGTAGCGTTCACCTTTATCCGCGATTTCTCCCGTTTCCCTTATCTCGAACCCCTTATCGCGTATTCCGTACCCCGCTCGCTGCTCCCTGCTCCCTGCTCCCTGCTTCCCTCTTACCGCTTCGCGCTTCCCGCTTCCCGCTTCCCGCGTCCCACTTCTCGCCTCCAGTACGTTGAAAATAAATAAGTTGAAAAAGACTATTTCAACGACGCGATTCCTGCTCGTTGCGTAGCTGCTCGCGATCGAAACTACCGATCGTGACGCGCGCGTTTGCGCCCCTTGCTCCTTCTTTTTTTAGTATACCGAAAGCAATACTACCGTGGAAGAAACACCCGGTTTGTTTCGATACTTGGTACTTGTATGTTATCCCATAGTTTGTACGAACGCGAAAGAAAGAGAGGGGGAGAGGGACGTTTGAAAATTGAACGCATCAATTTCATGTGAATTCGCATCGATTCGGTTCAGACTCGAAACGAGAGATAGATTGCCTCGAGATATCAATCGTCGCACCTTGTTGCGCGACTCCAGGGTCGCGCGCGCGCGCTCGGTTTGTCCATTCGTCTAGATAGAAACGTGCAAAATTTCTCTGAAATGCGATGAAATCTGAATGTGCAATTCGGTTCCTTCGATGCGACTCGTGAAAAGATTATTTTCGTCCCCCGTTGTTACTCAATGTCCAAAGTTATAGTTATAAACCACGATCCTTTTGGTAATGAGCCAAATATCGTCGCGAGTGCCAGCGTTCGATGTTCGCTAGCCAGCAACTGTGATAATTTTCTTCGTGCGAGTGCCCCCAGCCATTAGCAGCTGGTCATCCTTCCCTCGTAGTTGCATACAGTCTTTCATTAGCCGATCGTGTCACTATGTTTCCAGAGGAAGGAATACGTCAAGTACGCAAAAGTGTTTCCTCTATCCGGTACCTTGGACTTCAAAGTACCGAGCAAGTGGTACAGAAGAGTTGTCGGATCGCTCGAAATCATCTGCGGACTTGCAATGGCGATAGTACCTAGCCGTAAGAGATCAATCTGATTTTCCACTTGTCGCATTCTCCGCGGTCCAGCGTGCGTCTGCTGTCGTTTTCTTTTTTCCGGCACTTTGCACACCGCGTTGCGTGCACTTACCCATCCGAATACCCGTCCATTTGCCCATCCATTCGACCGTCGCGTCTATATCCAGTCATCTGCATTAATAGAATACATGCTCTGTAACACGTCCAACGCTGTGGACGCTGCTCCGTCGATCGCTCAAAAGACTGTTGCCTTTTCAGATAAGATTAAGAATGCATCGAACGCGGTGTTACTCTTGCTGATGTTGATGGCCGTGTACTCTCACTACATGGTCAACGATAAGTTCGAGAGGATCGCTCCAGCGTTGGTAAGAGCAGAAACAGAATTGCCAAGCGAACGTCGCAACGATACGATACGTACGATTATTTCAGGTATTCTTCTTCATGCTGACGGGGCGCCTGGTGATAGACTGGCAACTCAGACGAGAGGATGCTCAATCGATAACGGCGAACGGTCTGGATGACAAAACCAAAAAACAGGATTGAACTCGAGACTCTTTTACGCGTGTACGCTAACGCGAAACTTTGGTTACCGTGACACGCTTTGCGCGTACGATGCCGGTAGGCAACAGTGGTGGGTTGCGTCGCTAAAACCTTGTCGCAAATGCGGGAAAAGAGCCTTACGATCTTCCACCTTCGGAACCGCCAAGACATTTTCTATGAACGAAAGTCGATGGATTCGGCCAAGAACGGTCCAACTTGTCGTGCTTCTCCATCGCGGATACTTGCGCGGTAATCAAGTTTCGTGTTCGTTTTAATACACTCATTCAACTATGTACACTCTTCCGAAGCATTCTCGTGTTTCTTCGCAACGTCG